TGTAAGCACGTGATTTTTGCCCTATATGAGAATTACTCCCAAAAAATGCAAAATAAAATGATTTTCCTTGGTGTGCAATTTTGAGTATTTTTGTGATATTTTTGGATAATTATTTGTATTTGTCTGTGTTTGCTTATTTGTTAAATTAATAAAAAATACAAAAATATGTCGCATTTTGCATGTAGGATTTAATTCTACAATTGTTAGTAATTAAATTAGTTTTACAAAAATTAAAAATTACAAAAATAGGCATCTTTTGCATTTTTAGCATTTAATGTCCAAATGAACAATTTTATGCTTAATTATTACTTAATTGTGCGTTAATTGTTATTGGGAGTTAATTTGCGCTTTTATAACTTAATTTAGTTCTTAATAATAATTTAAGTATTTTTATAATTTTAGTTTTAGAAAAATAAAAGAAGAAAAGATAACAAAAATACAAAGAGAAATCGGATTGGGCCACTTCTTCAAATTTCAACCTCAGGCCCAAATAATTGCCCAATCTTCCCCATGACCCAGTCCACTTCAGATCGGGTCGACCCGGTACGCCCCATTAACCCATTAACCCAAAACCCCTCTTCACAAAACAAAACAAAAAAATAGAAAAAAACAAAAAAAACCATAAAAAAAAGACCAAAGTTCATNAAGAGATAAAACTTGCCTCAAAAAGCAGCATCCTTGCCAATAAGAAGAAAATGAATAATGTATTATCAATGTGGAAGCAAAGAAGTCATGAAGGTCAAGCTCCCCGCGTGGCGCTTGAAGACAACCAGACAGTGGGTGAAGACAGATCTAACTCAGTAGGACCTGCAGCGAAAACCAAGTTAAAAGCTGAGCCCTTGACTGCTAGAGAGAATGCTACAGCTAGTCCAGGACTTGCAGGAAACTCAACTTTTCAGTCTGTGAGTTTTGAGTCTCCGGATAAGCCTAGGTCTGTGACTAACAGCTCTGGGGGCACTTTGAAGGGCGTAATAAGAGGTTCTGGTTTAGGAGTTGTGAAATCGGATACCCTGTATACAGGATCATCTGGAAGTTCATCCACCTCACATACCATGCCACCAAGCACAGCTCCCTCATTAACAAATGCAGATGCCTCTGCAGCGCCCTTTAGGACAGATGCATCTGCTTTGGGTTCTTATATGCCCCCAGTACCAGCTGGAGGTGGTAAAAGAAGGTTCTCAGAGATGCCATCGCAGCCTCCATCTACTAAGGAGCAGTCTCAAACTACAACTGCATACCGAGATCGTGCTGCTGAGCGGAGGAGCTTGTATGGTTCATCTTCAGCCTTTGGAGATGATGCATCAGATCTTGGAGATTCAAGTAAGAATTCACTCAACATTTTGGGCTAATGCAGCTTGTTTCAACTCTTCTCAGCTTTGCATCTCTCTCCCTCTCTCCCTCCCTCCTATCCCACCCTCCCTTTCCTCCTGAGGTTTCTAATGCGCCATGGTTTTTTGTAAGAGTCTTCTCTTCATTTCTGTAATAGGATGCAATTCTTCCATAGTTGAAAACTTTTCTGTAGGTCCAGACCTTGCTTAGTTGGAAAACTTCAAAAGATGAAGATTCCAATGGTGGTTGCTAGATTTGTTTCTATGTGTATTAACTTGTGAGAAAATTTGTTTTCTATTATTGCTGGGCTTCAAGATCGAGACTCAACATCTAGAAGAGGTGTTTTTGATCCAACACCTTTCCCACCTGGTGTTGGAGGTGGACGTAGTGCAGAAGCAAATAGTCAGAGCTTTGAGGTGATCTCTGCTGACCGGGCTATCGACGAGAGTAATGTGGGCAACCGTATGCTCCGCAACATGGGATGGCAGGAGGGCTTGGTATCATCTCTTACCCTACAACTCTTCATAGACTTCATATCTATTTGATCGCAGAAAAATGTTGTTCATAATCTCCTTCATCTAAAAATGTTGTTGATAACCTTATACTAATTACAACTACAATAACTACACCTCAATCCCAAGCAAGTTGGGATGGCTTTATGGATCCTCAATTGCCATATCGCTCCATTTAAGCTCATCTTAGTCCGCTATTATATCAAAATAAAATTAAAAAATAGAAGTGAAAGCACTAGAGGTTCTCCATTAGCCTGTAGATCTCTTACAGGACCAAAATACTCATAAAAACATTGGACCTAAAGTAAACATGCTGACATTACTAAAACGTATTCCAACTAATTGGTATCACCTAATACAGATTTAGTTCTTCCTTTGTACCATATATGGATCCCGACTAATAACCTTATATTGATTATACTGATAAAAAACAAGAAGCTTATATCGATTTCATCGGTCCGGTGCTGCTGAATTGTTTATTAAGGGTTACAGCCTTTTTTTTCTTCTAAAATATGTGGGAGGTTAACACTGCATTTTGTGTATATACTTGTATGAGCTCGTGATGCCCTGGCTGCAAATTGGTATTCCTTCTCGTATGTCAAAGCCTAACACTGTATTTTGGGAATTGTTTTTGGTTTCTTTTATTGTCATGAATTCAGGGATTGGGGAAGGATGGAAGTGGTATGGTAGAGCCAGTCCAAGCTCAAGCATCTGAACGTAGAGCAGGACTTGGAATTCATCAGCCCAAGAAGGTTGACCCAAACCTTGAAGTACAGGCTGGTGACAGTTACAAGACTCTCATACAAAAGAAGGCCATTGCTCGGTTCAGAGAGATGTCGTAAGAACTTAGAGGCAAAAAATGGAGAAGTATATAACAACCATTCCAGGATGTGGACTGGAGATGTTGATTAGAAATGTTTCCGATTTAGGGTTGCAACTCTAGTTAGTTAGTGTATTGATTTGTTTGTTAGTTTTTCCTTTTGCTGTTGGAATTATTTCAAAATGTGAAGGATAAGGTTCTGGTTTTCTGCAATGCCCCCTTTATCTGAGGAATGTTGGAATCAGAATATCGCACTTGTGTGCCTATTTTTTGCAAAGCTAAGACATTTCTCTTTATTTCATGGATCTACTAGTTAGTGAAGTGACGCATTCTTGATCGGTTACTTGAAAGATATCTGGGTGACTGGCTGAGCTAGAGAAGAAACATTGGGTGCTGTGAAATGGTGTTGAATAAATTTAATTTTTTTCCGCTCACAATTAAGTAGTAAATACAGGGGGAACAACATTTGCAAGATATGGAGTGACAGAAGTCAAGCGGGAGCTGTTTTAGTTGGTTTAATACGCAAATGGTCACTTAAGTAGTAGAGGACGTAAATAAAAGGTAGATAAACACGAATGTTAAGAAAGAGAAGAAGATAATGGAAATTAACTAGTCAAGGACATTACTCTGCCTTACATAAACTGTTATAGCCAGTCTTTTATGTCAAATGTTTGATCGACAATTTTCTATTAAACTATCAACACATAGTTTATTTTGTCTTTCTGATTATTATTCTCACATTCTAATTTTCTTTATTCCCTTAACTAACATGAAATTGGCAATATTACTCAACTCAAATTCTGGCAATTAGAAACCTAATATGTGTTCCAAAAATTGATATATTTATAATATGGTGATGCTTTTTCGTAAATTTCTTGCCAAAAACATCAAATTCTGTGGACGTTGCACAAAAAAAAGAAAACCTTATATTCCATAATTGAATAATATTCTCACCAATCAAAACTAAAATTTCTCACCAAACGAAATTAAGTTGATTTTTATTAAATGTATACACTTTAATAAAACTAATTATTGAATAGCAAATAAAATAATATATATTTATAAGAAAGTAGGTAAAGGAAAAACACCAGTTATGTGGATATATTTAGTTATTAAAAATGTGAAAGACTATATATCACAAATGAGTAGCAACACTAACAACTATGCCTCAGTTCCGACTTGTGGTGGCACCCACTACTCATTTTTCATCACTTCTGGGTGTCAGGCATAATGCGTGCCTAGGTGAGCACGTCTCAATGATATTTTGTGATGAAATTCGTCACAAATTGACAAATTTTATACTAACTGCCAATTTATCGCAATGAACATCCTTTATCCGGACTTGAAACGTGTATTATGTTAGAAATGAGTAACAATAAAAATATGATCTTAATAAAAAAAATTACATACGCCATGAGAAAGTAATAGAATTTGTGGATGTATGCAAATTTGCAATAAAATTTGGTACTTCAATAAAAGCCCGCGCCGCGTATTCTCCACCAAGCAGCAAGCACGAATTTCTTAAGGGTTCTAGTAATAACATTTCCAGTGGCCGCCAAATTTCGCGGGAGAAAAAATGGCCGTTAGATTTAAACATCCCAAGCAATCCCTCTCCCTTTCTTCAGAATACGTTAATAAGTTCATCAAAACCCAAATAAACCTTTCAAAGCCCCCTCCAAAGCTCTGGTCTGATCAACATGATGCTGAATCTTTTGACCCATACAACAACAATAGTGCACAGATATTGAATTTAAGCCACCCCATTTTACGTATCTTAGATTCTTGCACCCCAAACTTGAAATATTTTAATCAAATACATTCCCAGCTCATACTTTCAGGCATTTTTCAACACCCTTTAGCTGCAGGTCGAGTTGTGAAGAAACTTTGCTCTTCACAGCTCACTTTAACTCATGCTGTAAAGATTTTTGAGAATCTTGAAACCCCAGATGCTTTTATTTGTAATACAATCATGAAAAGTTTTGTGAATTTTGATGAACCAAGTAAAGCTTTGTTTTTTTACTATGATCAGATGGTTAAAAATGGAATATTTCAGAATAATTATACCTTTCCGATATTGTTTAAGGCTTGTGCTGATTTGGGTATGGTAAAAGAAGGTAAGAAGATTCATGCCCATATTGTGAAATGTGGGTTTGAGTTGGATTTGTACACTAGGAATGTTTTGATTCATATGTACTCAGTTTGTTGGCGGATTGATGATGCACGGAAGGTGTTTGATTTAAGTTCTGACTCAGATTTGGTGACTTGGAATACTATGATTGACGGGTATGTGAAAAATGGAGAAGTGAATTTTGCGCGTCGTGTTTTTGATGTAATGCCGGAAAGGGATGTATTTAGTTGGAATTCCATGTTATCTGGATATGTGGGGATTGGAGATATGGAGGCTGCAAATTTACTGTTTATGGATATGCCTTCGAGGGATATTGTTACTTGGAATTGTTTGCTCGATGGGTATGCTAATGTTGGAAATGTAGTAGCTGCCCGTTCTCTGTTTGAGCAGATGGATTATCAGGATGTAGTATCTTGGACAACTTTAATGGCTCTTTATGTGAGACTAAAGGACTATGGGGAATGTTTGAGATTGTTTGATAGATTGATGCAGGGAAGAGATATTCAGCCAAATGAGGCAATCCTTATGAGTGTTTTGACTGCTTGTGCACATTTAGGGAAACTTGATCTAGGAAAGTGGATACATTCTTATATAAGTTATAGTAGGAGGATTAACCCTGACACGTTGCTTTCAACTGCCCTGTTGACAATGTATGCCAAGTGCGGGCAGATGGATTTAGCGAAGGAGGTATTTGCTCAGATGCCAGAGAAAAGTGTTGTGTCGTGGAACTCTATGATAATGGGTTATGGAACCCACGGGCACGGTGAGGAAGCACTTGAAACATTCATGGAGATGGAAAAAAGTGGAGTGATGCCTAATGATGCTACGTTCGTTTGTGTTCTAAGTGCATGTACTCACTCAGGGATGGTATTAGAGGGCTGGTGGTATTTTAATGTGATGACTAGAGTTTATAGAATAGAGCCTAAAGTTGAGCACTACGGCTGCATGGTTGATCTTCTTGGGCGAGCTGGTTTGACGAGAGATTCTGAAGACCTTATCAAGAATATGCCTATGGACTCTGGACCGGCATTATGGGGAGCTTTGCTTTCGGCTTGCAAGACCCACTCAAATGTGGAACTTGGTGAGATCATAGCCAAGAGATTAATTGAGAGGGATCCAGAGGATATTGGATCGTATGTGCTTCTGTCCAACATATATGCTGCGCAAGAGAGATGGGGTGACGTGGAGAAGGTAAGAAATATGATGGTTGTAAAGGGAATTAGAAAGGAAGCAGGATCTAGCCTAGTCCAATTTGCAAACTCGAACATGTGGTGTTTTCCAGAAGATGTTTCAGTACACAAGAGAAATATATTGTGTTCCATGTTGAATGAGATGGGAGTTCAGATCAAATGCCAGAGTGAAAGGTGATGGAATGAAGGAACTTGAATATAGGGAATGCCTTCGAGGCAAAAGAGATAGCGGATCGAGGACATCAAACTCACAGAACAAAACTGCAAGAGCTTTTGAGCTAAGACCCACGTTTCTCTGCATATTTCAGGTACATCAGAAAGTTTGGCATGGTACCGCAAGTACATTATATGCTTGTTTGACTTTATACAACTGACCTGCAACTTTTGTGGTGGGACGAGAACTGACAATTGGAATAGCGAAAGTGAACATCACTGGTGGAATTCTTGAAAGTTTAGAATTTAAAAAGGCTGAGATATCCTCAGGTTGAAGAAAAAGTCAGTAGTTGATAACTTAAGATAATCACATATGGCAGTGAAATCCCAAAGTTAATAAGCTGAGCTCTCCAAGATTTCCTACTTAGGTTTTCCCCCCATAATATATCTGAAGATTCTTCAGGTTGAGATAGCTGGTGGATTCTAATCATACAGCATCTTCCTTTGTATTCTGTAACGATCACAGTTTCACCCCCTTTGCCTGCAACACCCGCAGCTACTGTAGTATTTTTGCAGTTGACTTCTTTGCCTCTTCTTGATTACTTGTGTTATTATTAAGAGCTTAGAGGTTCTCATGTCTACAGTCTTGTGACCAGAATTAATGTTCTATTTATACAGGTTAATTTTGGTGGCTGTATTTTCCAATAAATGCTAGCATTTGCTTTGAATTAATGTGCAGAAAATTTGTTGTTTAATGTAATGCAAGCAATATTTTAAGTTCGAACAGTCAGATCTGTGATCTAATTGAAGAACTTTAGTTTACATATGAAAGAATATGCTAAAATAGTTGAATAAAATACTACTCCCTCTGTGCCATTTTATGTGACTCTTTCCTTTTTAGTCTTGTTCCAAAAAGAATGGTATCTTTTTATAAAAGTTTAACTCTAAACTTGCCATTTACCCTAAAAATGCCCTGGCACGTTTAAGACTACAAGTTCCAAATGTCTTTATTTCTTTCTTTCTTTCATTCTTTCGTAAATTCCGTAGCCAGTCAAACACCTTCACATAAAATGAAATGAAGGGAGTAATTCTATGCAATGCAGAATTTAGTACTTAAAGGAATGTCCATGTACTTATTGAATGTGTATTGTCGGATGCTGTTCAGGAAGATGATGGGCTCATGCACAGCTTAAAGTAATAAATTTAGACAAGTTCTGTATTTCGTACAATCTGGTCATGATCAATATGAAAAACTGCTTTAAAACTTAGAACTGTATTTGTTGAAAATACATAATTGAGTGAGGATCGTTTTGTTGACTAGAACTGCTAACAGAAAAGAATGAGAGCTAACACCATCAAAGAGCCAATAAACTTATCTAGTAACAAGTTGATCTTAGCAACAGAGTCCTGTGTGTTTATGCATCCACTTGTATTCCTGAGTCATATGTGTCACCAGATTTCCAGTTCTCAGGTATATTATTAACAGGAATAACCCAGGTCTCATCTCCATCATCATCACTCAATAGCATTCTGATTTGCAAAGGTCCCCTTGGAGGTGAAGTAGTAGTCCACACTGCTCCACGTGTCCTGTCCAACAGCTTGCATACAAAATTTTGTGTCTGCATGAAAGAACATAGTATTCAAAATGTTGAAATATAGGAATTTGGATGAAGCATCCTTAACCTCCTCCAACTGTTATTTCTTTAGCGAGTGTATGTACATCTTTCTTAGGTATTTCATTATTACAGGTTTTATTTTATGCCTTTATTAGAAACTCTTGCTGTGTGGAAACTTGAGTGCATTCTGAAAGATGAAACGGATGTTAGGTTCTTGAAAGCTAGCAGATGTACCTCGCACAGTTGCACAGCTGTAATATCCCTTTTCCCTTGTTGATACCATATCACAAAAGCCAAGTAATGAGGATTGTCGCTGCTCTCTTCAATCTTGATTGTAATATTTTTGTCTGGATAGCTGCAAGAGACCCTGTTCGATGGTGAAAGAGCGACAAATATGTGAGTCTCCCTCTAACAGAAAATACATTGCTTATGGATACCTTATGTATTGCGATGAATTAATATCCATATTTCCCAATTATACATCTTACCTTCTATACTCGATATCCACCACACCAAGTGATAATAGAGAAGCAGCAGCATCTGTCGTCTGAGCCATGCGAGCAAAGGCTTGCTGACTTAGAATAAAGTCTGTGCGATCACCTGCTCCTTGATCTGTTATAACTACGGTCACTCCTTTATCAGAACAATAGTTACTATTGGTGCACCTCACCTAGCAAAACAAGGTAGAGTTCGGAATGACATCTTATATTTGAAAATCTTGGCTAATTATCATCTATTTATCAACTATAATTTTTCTTCCTTTTTGATCATTACCTGGTAGCATGCACCACATCCTAGACCATTACGAAAGAGGTCTGATGCTGCTGACACATCTCCGCCATTGATTGTTGCTCCAAAAGTACCAAATCCACAACTCCCAGCTGCATGCAATCAAACACAAAAGGTTATTCTATGAGAAAACTTTTATTTTCTCCATTTTAGGTACATGTTATTGTTCAACTATGCATGTTAAGCATCTCACTTTCTGTTCCTTTTTCTTCTGAATTTGGATAGTGTGCTGCACGTGAATGAACGAAACAATCCGGGCATGTCTGAGAATTCGCTGTAGTTTGCATGAAGATAAGAGTTGTTGCAAAGACTGCGACAAGTTGAAGAGGAGCCATTTGTACTAAAGAGTAAAGATCACAAGAAAGGAAATTAAGCGAAAGAGAACGAGTTGTTGTTGCAGGGAAGTGATGGCATTCGAGTATTTATAAGGAACTCAAAGCAGCAAATAAGGTCCACATGGGTAAAACTCAAGTATGACTTTTGCCATTCTGTTCAACTTCAGTTTGAATGCATGGAATTCTGCCTTTACTTTCCCTAGCAACCTTTTTGGACCTTGCATTACTTGTTTTAGATAATTGAGGCTCAGTTTCCTTGCCAACCTTCAGATGCTCCTATTAGAAACTATATTAGTATTAGTATTGTAAAAGATATTGACTACTGAGGGAGAACTACTAATCAATTACTATTTTTTAAGCCAAGGGTCTATTGGAAACAACTTTTCTACCTTCGCAAAGTAGGAGTAAGGTCTGTGTATACAATACCCTCTCTAGACCCCACTTGTGGAATTACACTGGATTTATTGTTGTTGCATGACATGGCCTCTTTCTTGATAAGAATAATCTCAGAACTACTTAGTGGTCTGAACCAACTTGTGTGATAGTGATAACCTACACTCGATGTTTACACTAAATTACATTAGTTTGCCATAGTTATGTGATAAAACTGAGGTGAGTATGCATATTAATTAACTACGTTTAAGTGATCACAGGGTATATAAAGACACATTTCATTTATTGGATCACATTAGCTTGCCATAGCAAAGTGATATAAAATTGAGGTGAGTATCTATATTAATTAACTATGGTTAAGCAATAACAGTGTATAGAAAAACACAAGCGATGTATCCATTGGATTAGCACAAACACTGGGTGTGAGTAAGTGTGTGTATTTTGATAAGGATGTATGATGATATGAAACAGATATATCTTTGACTTTACAATTGCAGGACAAATTTCATTAGGAATTTGCTTGTGGTGCAAGTAAATTAGGGGACAAGTTAGGTGCTNAAAATATAATTCACATTAGACAAAACAGTCATTTAACTAATATTTAGGAATTTAGAAAAAAAAAACTATAACTTTATTTAATATATCTTCCCTTATTTGAACTATATAAGAAATCCTAATATTTAGGACTTTAAGTTCAAATACAATTTACTTTCTATAAATCATTTACTTTTTAAATTAATGAGCTTTAATTTACACATAATTCTAAATTTTGAGAATATTGATATTTGTGTATTTGTTTTTATTTTATTACAGTTAGAACGATTGTGTTCTATAATTAGATATCACAACTAATTTGTTTAGTGATTCAATTATCACGAACCAATACTTAGGAGTTAGGACAAGGTAAACTATGATTCTACCACTTTAGTTAAAAGATTTTATGATCCTTCGGTTCAAAAAATAATGTTTTAAATTTTTTAGATTATTTAAACTGTTAGTATTTCTTTCCAATACTTTATTTCACAAAACATAGGGTTACAACTTAGATATGCTTATTCTATTTTCTTTGGAATATGATTGCTTGAGATTAAGCTTTTGTTCCAATATTTAGTACTCTCTCCGGTCCAAAATTAGTGATTTTTAGTTGTTTTCACACAGATTAAGAAACCCACCTTTTAACATTAATTAACAATGAACTTGATCATATTAACCTTTACTATCTCTTCACATAAATACTCCTAACACACACTCCAACACTATTTACTCCAAAGGCAATGTAGAAAAAAAATAATTAATTCATTCTTGAAATATGGAAAAATCACTTATTTTGGACCACAAAAAAAAGGCCAAAAATCACTTATTTTGGACCGGAGGGAGTAGTTTAAATCAACTAAAATTTTGTGCATTAAATTCTTCATTATTTGAATATATAAAAGATTCTCATATTAAATACCTTGTATAACACTTTTTCTTATTTGAATTATGTAATATAATTTTTTTTACAAAATATAAAAATAATCTAAAATTAAACGGCAAAGTCCATGAAGAATAAGTGAGAACTAACTGTTATTAAAGTCGGTAATATTAGGCGACACTCCTTCAATATTTAAGGATATTTGGTTCTCAGACTCTAAGTCTTTTGCTTTGTAAATATATACAATATCTAAATTTATTTTTTGGAAGGTGTTCTAATACATATCAATTATGGATCTTATTAGTTCATATTTTTTTCCCTATGTTTTATAACTATAATTACTACAGTAATAATTATACCAGCTCAAATGGCTAGCCACCTAAATAGAATCGATATATATCATTTTCAGAAACTTTTCTTATTTTTAGCTTATATTTAATAACTTAAACATACTGATTAATAATATATGTATAATTCTTAAAAATTATGCTCATCGATATAGGTACACGCGCAACGCGCGTACCCTAAGACTAGTGTGGTTAAAAGTCAGAAGGATTCTCTGATATCTTGGATTTTGAAAGTGCAAGGAAACATACATCTAAATTCTCGAACTTAATATTTAAGTTCCAAATCTTCGTTATAATTTACACCAATCATAGTAATTGTTACAGTGACAGTAAGATGGAGACGACATGGACATTAATGATTCATATAACCGACTTTAACTTTTTGTGATTAAGGCATAGTTATTGTTGCAATTTTCTTTGTGATATTCTGTAATCTCTTGTATAAAAACAAAACACCAAAACGAATATTGAAAATTGAGATTTTTATTAGTGCTTTGGAACCTTTCTATGTTACCAAACATGCAAAGGCGTTTCTATTATTTATTTATTTAGTTAGTTTTTTATTTTCTCTCGACTGTGAATCAACTGGGCACAAAACTGTTTATGGGAATAGAAAAAGAAGAAATCTGAAAAGCTTGCTAGTTGCCAAAGTTGAAAAGATCAAAAGAACATCAATCTGATTGATAGTTGCCCAAGTTATAATTAGGAAAGAAAAGAACATTAACTGTTAAATGAGAGTTCTAATTGGCAATTTCAAAGGTTATAATCATTTGGAATTTTATGGACTTAAAT